GGAATCTCTGTCACTGCTCCTGTCTCAGCATTCCCATCATTGAATTGTTTCCCAGGGCAGCACACTGGGGATGGGTCTTGTTGGAAGCACCGGACTCCTCAGTTATAAATGGTCTCAGTGCAGAGCAGCCTGCGGCCTCCTGCCTGCAGGTGCAGGGTGAATGCTGAACCTAGAGCACGGTGCTGGAGGTGTGAGCTGCTGGGCTGGCCCGGCCGGGTCCTGCCTGTAGCTGAGGGGTGGAGGGATGTAAAGAGCCGTTTGTAGTCCTTGGGTTTTAATGGCAAATGCACCTGGTCGCTCCTCACGATCTCCTTGTGTCCTCAGAGATAAAAAGCAAGTGGATTGGGTGAAAGCTTATCTGAGCATCTGGACAGAGCTGCAGGCTTATATCAAAGAGTTTCACACCACGGGGCTGACCTGGAGCAAAACGGTGAGTGCCGCAGCCCAGGAGGCTCCGAGAGGAGGATTGCGGGGTTACCGCAGCAGGCGCGGAACTTGTGCAATTGCCTTTCCCCTGCTGGCCTCTTGCAGGGTCCTGTAGCCACAGAAGGGACCAAGTCACCGTCTGCTCCCCCCGCGGGGGCTGCGCCTCCACCCCCGGGTCCTCCTCCGCCTCCTGCTCCTGCCCCCAGCAGCTCCAGCGCTGACGACGCTGCCTCCCGCTCCGCGTTGTTCGCCCAGATCAACCGGGGCGAAGGCATCACCTCTGGTAGGTGAAGTAGGGACCCGAGGGAGGGCATCCACGAGCCAGGATGCCTGTGCTGGGAGGCCTTGTTTTGCTGCTCTCCCTCAATACCCCTGCTCAAAACAAGGGGGCATCTCCTCAGAGCAGAGGCTGGGACCCCTGAAGGAGCTCACAGGGACAGAGGGAGCACAGCTGGGATCTCTCAGCCTCATCTGTCACACGTGGCAAGAGATTAATCCCTGGCTGGAGTGGAAAGAGCTTCCTGCACGTTGCCAGTAGAGAAGGTGCAGTTCTGCACCGATTCACATCAGCACAGAGCTCATTCCCTGTTTGTGTTAGCTGCTCAGTGTATGGGGACAGTCAGAAACTGCAGTGAGGTGCCTGGCTGAGGGGGTTTTCCTGCAGAAGTGGAAGAGCTGGTGCCTTCTGTTGTGTTCTCATCAATATTGCAGCAGTCTTCTTGCTCCCTCTTTCACTGCTGCCACTTGTGCTTGACCTCAATTTAGGCCCAGTCTCAGTAATCATAGAATCACAGAACGGTTTGGCTTGGAAAGGACCTTAAGATCATCCAGTTCCATTTGCATTTTGACAATGGAATTGTGGGGATTGCTGTAACCACCCACGTCTGGTGTGTGTGAAGCTGGACCCTTGGTTGGAGGAGACCGGACCTCAGGTGTGACTTCTCTTGCAGGCTTAAGGCATGTTTCAGATGACATGAAAACCCACAAGAATCCAGCCCTGAAGAACCAAGGGGGTCCTGTGAGAAGTGGACCCAAACCTTTCACTGCTCCCAAACCAGCCTGTAATGCTAATCCCGCCCCCAAAACCTCTCCAAAGGCACCTGCATTGCTAGAATTAGAGGGCAAAAAGTGGAGAGTGGTGAGTGCATGAGCGGGTGGGAGGGATGGGAGCTGTGCAGCAGGGCAGGAGGAGGGTCTCCTGCGCTGCCCTGCTCTTCACATGGAGCAGTTGGTCTGCATTCAGGGAATACAATGTGCTTCCCTGCCTCTTCAGGAAAACCAGGAGAATGCCACTAACCTGGTAATCAGCGACACAGAGCTGAAGCAGGTAGCGTACGTTTTCAAGTGCACAAATAGCACGCTCCAAATCAAAGGCAAGATCAACTCCATCACCCTCGGTAAGTGGAGAAGGCCCGAGAGGAGCTGCTGCTGCTGCGAGCTGCTGTGAGCCTCCATAACCTTCTCGTGGCTTCCTCTGTGTTGTCTTTGCAGATAACTGTAAGAAGCTAGGGCTGGTCTTTGATGACGTGGTGGGCATCGTAGAGATCATAAACAGTAGGGACATCAAAGTTCAGGTGAGTGCCTGCGACCTGTTCTCTGCCTGCAGTGGGAGCCTTGCGCTGTCAAACTGGTGCCTGTAGCATCTGCCTCCTTGGGTAGCTTTATTTCCAGAACAGGAACATTCTGGTGCTTGGCCAGCCCTTAGGAAAGGGCTGAAATGTGCCTCACTGAAGCTGCTTCAGGGCTCTGGTTAGAAGCTGAGTCTGTGTGAGGCGGGCAGCACAGGAGGGCTGCCAAAGCAGGAGGCCAGCAGGAGAGGCTGTTCTGATCCAAGGTTTGGTGTCTGATTTGGGATGTGCTCACTGTTCCCTGTATGTTCTAAAGAGACCAAACCAAGAAGTAACTCAGGGGTGCATCCAGGGTTGGGCTCAAACCTCTTGCCTTGAAGGCAAGGGCAAAAAGAAGATCACTGTGGTCGCCTGGGTGCAGGTACCGCTCCTCTAACTGGTGCTTTGCCCGCCCCCAGGTAATGGGTAAAGTGCCAACGATTTCCATCAACAAGACAGACGGCTGCCACGTGTATCTGAGCAAGAGCTCCCTCGACTGCGAGATCGTCAGTGCCAAGTCATCCGAGATGAACGTCCTTATTCCCACCGAGGCTGGGGACTTCGTAAGTGTCGGGATGGAGCTGGCTCCGGGGGCCTGGTGTCACGCAGGGCAGGATGAGTGCTCTGAGCCCCCTTTGAGACCTCTTACAGCAAGGTCTGGAAGGACAGCTCCAGGCTCTGGCTTGTGGAGGTTGTGGATCTGATGTTAAAAGCAGCAAATCAAGTTGGTTGCTCTTTATAGCAAGAAACTTGCTGTTAGTGGGAGCTGCTGCTTCCTCAGGATCTCCCTGGGGCAGAACAGGCAGCATTTGTGCTACAGGAGAGGGGACAGCCTGTATCTGAGGGAAGAAATGTCTGAAGCAGTGGGAGGAGTTCCTGGTCTCCTTCCCCAGCTGGTTTCTAACAATAGGTTTCTATTTTTACCCTGCAGACTGAATTCCCTGTCCCAGAACAGTTCAAGACAGTGTGGAACGGTCAGAAGTTGGTTACCACTGTGACGGAAATCGCTGGCTAAGCACAAAAGCTCCAAGGCTCACGTCCTCCCCTGGCCCTGCTGTGGGACAAATCTGCTTTCAGATGATTCTTTTAGGTTTCTTGTACCTTTCTGCTCTCAAACTGCTTCTCCTCTACCCGAGAGACACAGCTGCCTGCCGGCACTGGGGCTTGGTGTAGGTACTGGGTCGGTTATTGTCCACATCTATTAGCAGGAAGGTGAATTCTCTTTCCTCCCTCCCCCCCCTTGTCTGGTCTCACTGCACCAATTGATGGAGTCAGGTTGATGGTGAGGTTCACAGCCAGTCCTGGCAGTTGGCTTTTGGAGGTGGTGTTTGGGGTTTTTTACATTGCTTTTAAGGAAACTCTTCACGTGAGAGAGGAATGTTGTGCCCTTTTGAACAAGTAACGGTGTCTGTCAGGGTCCCGAGGACCCACTTGCTATGGTGGATGTCTTGAGAAGGTCCTTGGAAGCTGCTAATTCCAGCTCTAGGTACTAGTTGGTGGCATTATTGGGAATGGGTTTGTGGGACCAAAGGCTGAGGAGCTGGGCTGCAGCATTCCACCCCTAATTCTCTTTCATCATTCCTATTAGCTCAGTGCATTTCCAGTTGTGCCATGTCAGGAGGCTTTCTATTAACCAGTGCCACAGGATGAGCGCAGCGCAGGGGCTGCGCTTCCCTCCTGGCTGGTATCTTGGAGCTGAGCACCTCATATTCCATGAGCTCTTCGCTCTCCCAGGGGAATCTTCACTCCAGGGCTTCCTTCTTGGAGCAGCTGAACTCAGGTTCAGTCTTCCAGGGCAGTTCTTTGAGCCTGTCCCTTTCCAGCCCAGGGTCAGGAGTGCAGGACTGTAAGTACGTGAGCTGATCCCATCGGTTCATCACTCTCTTCCTCATCTGCAGTCGGTCCCCATACAGTGAATCCTCTCACCCTCCCCCTGTTACTTGGCTCTTTCCTTTGGTGGAAGCTCATAGCCCCTGTTCCAGGGCCCTGGAGCAGCGCTGGAGCCAAGGCACAGTACTGTACTGCCCACAAAGGGAGCTGCACGTGCTTTGACCTTCATTTTTCCAACGCCTCGGGTGGCATAAGCATATCTTAAATGCATTTCCTCTGTAAAGTGTCAATGTTTTTTTCTCTAGTACAAAACTTACAAAAAAAACCCCACAAAAATATGCAATTTTTTTTTTATTTTGAGACTGTCCTGTGACTTGTACTCGTCTTCTCCTGAGGCTTGTGGAAAAAACCTTTCTTATGTACTTAAGATTATACAGAAGATAGAATAAAGTTAATGCCAACTTGCTCATTACAGTGGCTCTTGTCTGCTCTTTGGGGGCACAGGACGAGCTCCTCAACGTGCTCTGTGTGCTTTCCCCATGGGCACATACAGACTTTCCTGACCCCCCCCCACCTCACATCACAGAGTACTTGCTGAATCTCACCTGGTTTTAGTTGGTTAAAGTTTTTATTGGTTCCGATTGCTGTACAAAAGTGCCATTAGTTGCAAACTTCAAGCTGTTAATACCTGCTTAATGCAAACCCCTCCTTTTCCCCCAGAAACACCTCAACTTGCCCCTTTCCCCCCCGCCCCAGTCCTGAAGGATGGGCTCTGATGTCTTTGCTCTGCAGACAGCCATCCTGCCGAGATGCTCAATTCTTGCACTAGTGCATTCAGTTAATACTGCCATTGTGGCCTGTGAGAACAGGCAAGGGGAGAGGAAACCTCTGGAGCAGACTTACCCAGGCCCATGCAGGACAAAGGGCTTCAGAGCCAGGGCAAGGCTCAGTGCACCAGGACGGGAGTGCAGTTCCACCCAGAGAAATCCTGGTCTCTTAATAAGAGGTGCCACCGTGCCCCTTGGAGCTGCTGGGCTAAGGGCCCTCTTCCTCCCCTTCCCCGGATCCTTGCAGGCTCTACATGGAAAGTGCCATTACCCCATAGCAGCTGCTTTAACTACAGTGCTGGAACCCCCCCCAGTGCTCTCACTGGAGGAAGGGGAGGATGGAGGTGTAGAACCACTCTTCGGAGAAGTGGAGGTGATCCCCCTTCACCCCCAGGAACACCAACTTCCCTGCTTTGTCCATCTCCTGCAGCCCCAGGCGATCCTGTGGAGGGAAGCAGGACCATAGGTGCCTTCCTATGGGGAACCCGGCACAGAGGAAGGTGCTGATGTGTTGTGGCAACAGCAGTGGCTGCCAGGCTCAGGTGGGTCCCACCTCTGCTCTTCAAAGCTTCCCCTCATCGAGGGGAAAAAGGCATTTTGGATGACGTACAGCAAGGCTTTAGAAAGGAGCAGTGTGTGTTAAACACAGGCTTGAAGGGGATCCTGAGCCAGGCACAAGCATGAGACCACCACTGTAATTCCCACTGCCCAAACTCGCCTGGACAGAAATGCCTTCCCAAACAGCTGCTGGAAAGAGGAGGCGATGCCCCAGGAGAGCAGAGCTGTGGGGGTCAGAGCCCCCCAAGGCCCCAGGGATGCTATAAAACGTTAAGAGCAGTGAGCCCTCAGCCCCAGCAGAACGCACCTCTGTGTACAGCGAGGTCTCCTTCAGCGGGATGGTCTCCTTGGCTTGGCCACTTCTGTAAAACCCAAACCACTGTTGGAGTTAAAACAAGAACTCGGTTACTGAAGGGGTTCCAGATGAGGAGGCTCTCACCAGCCCCTGCAGTATCAGGCCTATGGTTGGGCTCAGCCTCAGCAACCTCAGGTTCTGCCATCAAAGGACAAACCAGAGCCAAGCATTGAAGCAGCACCCAGAAGCAGCCTGCCTGCCTCACCTCAGAGATCGGGGGGTCGACCATGGTATCATTGAGAAACTTCACCATCACGAACTTCTTCAGAGCCATCAGGTTTTTCTTGTACGTCTCATTGATGCCCTGGAGGAAAGCAACAGCAGATCCAAGTCCCTGGAAAGCTCACAGACAGGGAAACCACCTTTGCACCTGCAAAGGAAACCCCAGGTCCTCACCCTCTCCTGGTTTATGTCAGCCAGAAAGATGCTGTTTTTCCTGTAGTCATCCTCCTTCAGCGGATCATGCCAATACTCTGCTTGTACCAAGCTGGGAAAGGGTGCAACCAAAGATCAGACAGAAACCCAGAGTTTCTAACGTGGCCCCGCTACCGCAGCCTGAGGAATATACTCACTGCTCCTGAACGGCTTGTGTGTAGGCACCCAGGTCCAGCGTCTTTCGGATCCAGTCACAGATATGGGAGCTCTCCCCAGGGCAGCGTGGAAAGCCGTACACGCCTGGGGAACGGAGCCGTGCAACTGAAATCCCTTAATCCCTCTGGCTGGTAAAGAACCACCCTCTTACAGAGCAGCGGCAGGAATTACCCAGGGGATCAGGTAGCCTTTAATCCTGCAATCTCATCAGGCAGCCCTCCCACCCCGGGAGTTACAGAGGTAATGGAGGGGGTTCTTGGGCTGAAGGTATTGCCCTGGAGAGCAGAGGCAGGAACAGCAGGCAGCTCAGCGGCTGTGCTCCCAGGAGGTCTGGGGTGGTTCCCTCCAAGTCTTCCCACTACACTACAAAGAAATAGACTCAAGCTCTGGAACTTCTCAGGGGAGAGAATCTGAAATTCATTGCCAGCCCCTCTTAACTGCAGAGCTCTTCAATACCATTTCATACTGCCTTTTATCTGCTGCAAAAAGCACCTCCCGTTCCTCGGAGCTTTAACCTTCCAGATGCTGATTATAAAATACCCTTGTGACCCAGAAGGTTTCATTTCACCAAGGCTTTGCTCCCTCCTTAGTAGTTTCTTCTGCCTAATCCCAACTAATCCCAAGTGCTCCAAAGTATAGAATTCCATGCAGATAATAAATTATCTACTTACAAAGGCCCCTTCTCATTGCCAGTCAAACAAGACCAAGACACAAGATAACAAAGTTTGCTGACAACTGGGCCCAAGCAGACCACGAGGTTCGGAGAACAAAGGGACAGGGTAATTCATAAGAAAATGGTCAGATTTTAGGAAGAGGTAAAAAAACAAGAGCACCAATCCCCCCCTCCCTTCAAGGTGGTTTAGGAGCTGTGAGGGCTTCACAGGACGCTACCTTGGTGCTGTCCCCCAATGGAGATCAAATTGAGCATGGGAGGAGAAGGGCACCTCTGGGCCACCGCCCGCCTGTGTGGGAAGAGGAAGGTGCTGAGCTGGCTCCACGTGCCAGCCACCGGGGCTGGTTCACAGCTTCCCACAGCTCTCAGCTTGCCACAGTGTGGGCTTGGGCGCTTGGGGAAGGTTTGCAAAGAGAATTAACCCTTCCTGGTGGAGGAGGGCCCCAGGCAAACGCGTTCTTGCCTCTTTGGAGCGCTCCTGCCTGTAGGAAGGGGTTTGTCTGTTTCCATCTGTGCTGCTCTTCACAAGAGTTTTAAATCAGAACCCCAAACCCTACAGAACCCCCTGGAAATGGATCAGAAAGGTAAACTCACAGGAACTGGCCTCCCTGGGAGAAGCCCATCGAATTGTAGCCTCCTTTCAGGTGAGGGTCCTTTGCCAGCTGGCTGCACACCTCTCTCACCTGGTCGTTTGCATTCATAAAGAAGCTGTTCTCCATATCCTGAGGGATTAGATAGATTAGAACATAGAACCTGTCCTTTCACAGTGGCTCATAGAGCGCTTCCAGTTTTGCTTTTGAAAGAGGACCTGAGCTGCCCCACTATGACAGAAGTGAAATGCTCATTTTGACACTTCCCTTCATGGCTGGTTCCTACTCTGCCTGCCAAAACTGCCCTATACAGAACAGGGACGTTTCCCCAGGCTTCTTGCAATTTATGTCCCTTCAGATTTTGTGCTTGTACATACATAGAGATAAACCCACACAAATCAGACTTCACCCATCTCCTCCAGATCCCAGGAAATAACACACAGTGCACTGGAATCCTGAGAGACTAAAGAAATCCCATAGGGCTACAGAAAACTGCCAAAACCCCACAAAGGCACAGAATAAATCCTCATTATACTAAAGATATGCAGTGAATAAATGCTTGTAAATCAAAAAGGGGGTAAGGGAGAAAGTTTTGCTCTAGCACAGTATCTTATCATATGCCCTCATGATACCTGGGGTGGTCAGAATGCTAATTAGGGGTTTTGTGTATTAATCCAATTTAGACTTGGGATTTGGTTGTACCCAGTTCTTTTCTGCAGACAGGACCTAGACTTCTTTAGTTTCTACCTGTCAAAGCTGTTTGCTTCACAAAGAAGGTTAGCAAGGAAAGCACAACAGGAATCCTCATGGAATCAGGTGAGTATCAGAGGCAGGCATTGCACCTTCAGACCTGCCACACCCAGCCCCGCAGAACCACGAGCGGCAGCACCCCATTACCTGTATCAGGTTGCTTCCAATCTTCAGAGACACAACATAAATCCCTGGTATTTTACTCTCCACTATCTTCTTAATGTAGCCCATGCTCAGCGGATTGCAGCAAGTGTCTCCTGTGAAAGGGAACACCCCAACGCACCATCACCGCGCTGCCCAGGCCCCCACCGAGGCCCGGCGGAGGAGGGTCAGCACCTCCCGGCCTCCGCAGAGCCGGAGGAGGACACGGCTCCTGTCCCCGCCCGGCCCCGGTTCCTGAGGCTCACCCATCCCGTGCCAGATAACGAGGGGGACGGCGGCAGCCGCGCAGCACAGGCGCAGCCCCAGCACGGCCAGCACCGCTCCGCTGAGCGCCGCCATCTTGGCTGAGCACATGACCGGCGGCCGGAGCGGGTCACGCGGAAGTGGGTGAGGTCTGCCCCAGCTCCTGGTGCCCTCCCGTGGCCGAGCCCGGCACCGGCTGCGGTCCGGCGTGTCCCGGCCCTTCCAACGCTGCTCCTTTGGAAGCGAAGGGGCAAAACACAAGCGAGGGCATCGACAGAGTCCAACCGGGCAGCCCCGAGCCCGGCCCCGGAGGTGGGGAAGGGGAGAAGGAGGGGCAGACTTGGGCTGGTGCCATCCGGACAGAGCGAGAGCCGCGCTGCAGGCGTCCAGCTCAGCGTGTGGACACCGGGAGAGGTGTTTGGATCCAGACCGGCGCGTTCGGCTTCCCCTTCCCAGGGAGGAGCTCCAACCCCTCCGGGGCTCCGGCAGGGCTCACGGCGGTGAGGGCCCCGCCACACAGTCCTCCGGCCGCCAGAGGGCGCTGCCACCGCTCCGTCCCATAAGACCCCGCGGCGGCACCCAGCTGGTCTTTTCCCCGCCTCCATCATGGCGGTGAGTGGCGGGGCCTGCTATGGGCTGCGCTGTCTCTATCCGCTGCCATCCGGTCTCAGCGGGGCTCGGCCCGGCCGCCGCCAGTGCGGGAGGGAGCGGGGGAGGCCGGGAGGGAGCACTGCGGGGCCGGGATGGGTAGGGAAGAGCCGATGGGCTGCACTGGGGAAGCGGCTGCCATGACAGGCCGCGGCCTGGCGGCCGGATGAGGCTTCCTCGGGCCTGTGGGGCGAGCAGGCGGCCGTGTCCCCGGCATCCCCCCCGTTACCCTCCGTGTCGTTTGTCCGCAGCAAGACCAGGGTGAGAAGGAGAACCCCATGCGGGAGCTGCGCATCCGCAAGCTGTGCCTCAATATCTGCGTCGGGGAGAGCGGGGACAGGCTCACCCGGGCGGCCAAGGTGCTGGAGCAGCTGACGGGCCAGACCCCCGTCTTCTCCAAAGGTGAGGCTGCGTGTGCCCGGTGCGGCTGCTGCCCGGCTCCAGCCGCGGTGCCTCTCCCTGAGCATGCAGGGGGGGTCTCGGTGAGGTCTGGCCTGGCGGTGAGAGTTGGGAGCCTGAAACGTACCGGGGCTGGTGGGAGTCGGTTCTGCCTCCAGACTGGGGCTGCTGCTTATTCTTCTCCCCCCCTCCCCAGAGAGGGAACCTGCCTTTGCTTTGATGCTGTTCCCTTTCTTTTAAATTGATTTCTTTGCTGGTCTTAAGCTGTTTATGAATTCCCTGGGTGGGAATCCTCTGAATAGCCTCTAAGTGTAGTTATTGCTGCCTGCAGCTCGATACACTGTGCGATCCTTTGGAATCAGAAGAAATGAGAAGATTGCTGTTCATTGCACGGTTCGTGGGGCCAAAGCAGAGGAGATTCTGGAGAAAGGCTTGAAGGTAGGAATTCAGCTGGTCTGGATCTTTGATTTGGGAAAGAGCAACACTGAATCTGCTCCAGCTGAAGAGATGTGTGCTTTGAAATGTTGTAGCTGAGCTGGTGACAGGTCAGTCCCAGATACACCCTGATACGGACCTCTGTTTGCACCATTCCTGTGCTCGCTCTTCCATCTGTTTTTAAAAGTGAGTTGGTGTGGTTTCTGCTTTCTTTTGGAGTTCTGTCTCCACTGCAGTGATTTGTGAGCAGACTTCGGGAGTAAAACCTTAGGACTAAGGATGAAGTAGCGTGTGAGTGAGTTGGGATGGTGGCAGTTGGTAGAACACACAGGACTGCTGCCTCTGCAGTCGATGATGAAATAGTGACTGACAATCACTGTTGCAGGTGCGAGAATACGAGCTGAGAAAAAACAACTTCTCAGACACCGGGAACTTTGGCTTTGGAATCCAGGAGCACATCGACCTGGGGATTAAATACGATCCCAGCATTGGTATCTATGGCTTGGACTTCTACGTGGTGCGTATCCCCTGCTTCCCTGCAGCCACTGAGCTTGTGTGAAAGCTCTAGAAGGAACCTAGAATGATAACTGGCTTGTTAATGATAACCTGCTGCCCAGCTCTGCATGGTAGAAAATGCCCCAAAAATTCCAATGTAAACTGAGTGGGGCTGCTATAGAATTCCAGGTTTATGATGTGTCACACAAAGCCCCTTCAGAAGGAAGTGCTGCTGCTTGTACTGGTACTCCTGAAGTAGCACTGAAGAGGCTGTGCTGGGTTTGGGGGAGGAAGGTGCAGGAGGGGCTTTGGGAATGCATGCAGAAGGATGGCTGTTGCTGGAAGGCTCTCTGCTGTGTGAGGGCCGGTGGGTCTCATTCGTTCCATTGTGCTGTGCCTCACGTTCAATGTATGAAGCAGAGGGAAGCTGTTCCACCCATGTTAGCAGTGCTGGCCGGTGGATCTGTTCTCTAGAGCCTGTGGGTATGGATCTTCCATGCTTGTTTTAGTTTCTCCAGTATAGATGCTGAGTTGCACACCCCAGGGGCTCTCCCTGTAGTCTTGTATTTACATTGAGGATAACGCTCTGGGTCTTGAATGTGAATCGAGCAATGAGACGTTATTGATGTGGAAGGTCCAGCCTTCCATCCTAAAAAACTGTGAAGTGTAAGAAAATCAGTGGCAGAATAAAGCAGTGCTGTGGGTCTGCTCTCGGGGCAGGTGCTGGGCAGGCCTGGTTTCAGCATCGCTGACAAGAAGCGCAGGACTGGCAACATCGGAGCCAAGCACAGAATTGGGAAGGAAGAAGCCATGCGCTGGTTCCAGCAAAAGGTAAATTCCAGCTTTGTTTTGTATCCCAAGAGTTTCCTAGCAGGGAGCAAGTCACTGGGCAGGAGGAGATGGAGATCAGTTTATTGTTGATTATTGGTGCTCTGCAGCAGTGGGGCTGTGTTTGGGTGCAAGTGCTGGTCATGCCTCTCTTGTGTGTGCTGAACTCAAAGAGCAGTTGCAGCAGCATAGCTGGGGGAGTGTCAGCTCTTGTGTAAGTCTCTCAGGTGGTGTTTGCAGGTGTTTAACACGTGCGTGGATCAGGAATGGTGAGGCAGGGTTATTAGGATTTGTCTGACAGCTCCTAGCTCAGCTGCTGGACTCGGAGGATGGAGTAGTCCAAATGAAAGGAGTTTGTCTGGGTTTATCTGTGCACAGCTCTGAGCCAGGCTGGGCAGCGAATGGAAGATGCTGAGTGCTCAGCTGGAAATGCTCAGATGGGAATTGGTGGTGCTTTTTCAAAGGTGGAAGGGGTTGGATGGTCTGTCTGGAGGCTCTGCCCACACCTGTGTTATTGTACCCTGTGCGGGAAGGTGCCAGCCTGCTCCTGCAGAGTGGTTCTGCTTGCTGTGGTGTAGCTTCCTCCAGGACCTGTATCTTTGGACTGTAAAAGGGATGAGTGTAGTTTAGTCAGATCTGCCTGTGAAGGGTGGGTGGGCTGCTGAGCAGAGTTTAGTGCTTGTCCCCTCCTTGGAAGCCACCAGCAGAGCAGCTGGCTGCCGAGAGCTAGTGTTTCGTGTCTCTGTTGCCTGGCCTGGGGTGAATGTGGCAGCTCGGTTTCCTGCACAGCAGCACTGCACCTCTACCTGGTGGTACATTCTCACTTGCTCCTGTCTTTTGTTTCCCTCACAGTATGACGGCATCATCCTTCCTGGCAAATGAACAGTTCCTGTTACTAAAAAAAAGGCAAATAAATTTTTCTAAGCTCCATCTCCTGTTGTGAATTTTGTGGGGGCTCCTCCTGACCTGGGAGGCTGCTGGGAGCAAGAGGCACTCCAAAGGAAGCAGAAGGATGTGGACACGAGGAGAACACACTGTTCTCAGGAGCAAGCGTTGGATGTATGTGGTGCTGTCTCTACTTTGCGTCCAGCTGCACAGATGGCGTGTAGAACTTTGGAGTCTGCAAGTGGGTGTAGAAAGAAGAAAACAAATACATGCTTTTTTGACTACTGGAGTTGTTGAGTGGGAGTTTTGGAGGGTTGAACATCGGAGGGGAGGGCAGTCAGTGCTGGGTCTGGTCCTCAACAGACCACGCTGCAGTGTTGAGGGCTCCTAGTGAATGAGGGAGTCAAGTCAGTGGGAGAAACTTGGCTGCTCTGGAACTATTTGGCTTCCCAAGGAAATGGCACATGTACACTCTTGTAAAGCAGAGCTATAAAGCTAAAGTGTGGTTGAGGGCTCTTTATGCAAGGGGCTGAGGGGATGAGTTGAGGCCCGTGGTGTCTCTAAACTGGGATTCAAACCCTGTGCCCTGGAGGGACAGCTGGGATGAGCCAGCAGAACCCTGGAGCCAAGCTGCTGTCTTGGGTGGTGTGAGACCCAAGTGCCTGTACCTGCAGCTGGTGGAGTTGTTTCTGCCCCACAGATCATGGTGCTCTTAATGAGTGCTAGAAATCCAGAAGCAATTAAAATCCCGAAGAGATTAGCTTCTTTGTTAAAATGCTTCACGTGTGAACTTAACACTGCTGTAATTACCCAGCCAGACAGTTCTCCCCTGCAAAGGAATGGTCTTTATTGTTTAAAGAGAAGATTCCCTGCAGGACAGGGTAGGTCACACAAGTGGGGTTCAGGAACACCCTTTTACTTCTGCCTCTTGTGCTTGGTTTTCTCCTGCACCTTACAATAAAAAGCTACAGTAAAAAAATTAAGGGGCAAACTCACTTCTATGCTAGTCTGCACACGCTGCCCCAGTCACTGTGCAGTGTTCCCTCAAGGACCAGACCCTTCCTTTCTCAAGCCTATTTGCAGTTGTAAAGCAGGGAAGTTTGCCAGCACTGCTCAGGATGGAGCCCACTCCAGGATACACAGGGCAGTGTGTGCTGTGCATGCTGAAACACACGAAGGGAAGTGGAATTTGAATGGGAATGATGTTCTGCTGTGGTGTAGCTCCATGCTTGAGGTGAACTCTTAGATTGTGAATTCTCAGGGGAAGATCAGTTCCTGCATGAGCACTGTGGTGAGCAGTGAAAAGCAGCCTGCTTTGCTGAAGCTTTTGTCTTGACATCTTCATGGCACATTGGGGTTCCCTTCAGCAGCGCATTGGCTTCCTGGATATTATTCCACTGTGTTGTGCAAAGACCGGAACAAAACCAAGAGTGTTTGCCCTGATGCTC